CACGTCAGATATAAAGGTTTTGTCAAAGAAAGAGTATGCAGTCAACCGAGAGCGACACCCTGAGCATAAACAATGAACACATGGCATGATCACGGCGTGACCGAAAGAAGAAAAAGTGTCGATTTTTTCAAAAAAAAAAAAAGCAGACGTTTGAGTTTTTGTAGCATAATGGTTCGTAAATAACAGGTATATCTACTCGAAAACGTTTAAGTTTATTTATACTTTCAGGCTAATATCGTCAACTGGCCAACACTTGGTCTGTAACAGACTGTTGTGAAAAGTTGATATTTGTGCGTTTCAATAATCCTACCTATCTCATTGTGTGTTTATAAATATTGATCAAGTGTGCATTTCTAGTTTTGCTCATTTATGTCTGTCCTGTTCAGTTGTGAATAACGAGTTACTGAGTACATGTATGATGACGTATGCGGAGACAAGTTTACCAAAGTTTCTGAGTCCTGGGTAACAGGAAAGATAATTCTAAAACGGAACTTTGATACTACAGATTTTTAAAACAATTTTTCTAAATCAATAAATTTGATTTTAATTCAATTTTTTATTGTAATTTAATTCATATCTAAGTAGTTCAGAGAAGTTACTACAGTTAGAACATTGATATTTTACGGACAGCCTTATCCTAGCCGCGTATAAAAGAACACTATGAACGAGTGTCAACAGTATCTACAGAGATTACTATTCCCCTCCAGAAAACACGGGGAAGATTGGTGAAATAATAAAAAAAGAATTAACAAATAAATTTTGAATTTGAACCAAGAATATCATTCAAAGCGTGAGCTTTGAGGTAATGGTGGGATATCATGCATAGAACATGATGAAGTGTCCTACGTCAGCATGACTAGGTTATTCAAAGCGAAAGCTTTGAGGTATTGATGGGATATCATGCGTAAATCATGATGAAATGTCATACGTCAGCATGACTAGGCCAAGCATAAGCTTTGAGGCATTGATGGGATATCATGTGTAAAACATGATGAAGTGTCATACGTCAGCATGACTTGGCCATTCAAAGCATAAACTTTGAGGTATTGATGGGATGTCATGCGTTAAACATGATGAAGTGTCATACGTCAGTATGACTAGGCCATTCAAAGCGTAAGCTTTGATATCAACTGGAAGATGGCATGGTATACCACATTGCGAATCTGTACACTTTGTAATACTTCTGTAATTGTTGACGAATTTCATTATATCCTAGAATGTAAAGTTAGTTAATGTAAAAAAAATATTATCTAGGCAATTATTATTCTTGCAGGCCGAATTTTGTTAAATTCATGGAACTAATGTTAACTCAAAATGAACCCCCCCCCCCCCCCCCCAAACTGTTTGTTTATTTAAAAGAAATTTTCATACTGTCTGTCCTCCTCGATATATTTCCTCCTTTTTTCATAGTTACTCATTTTCTGTAATCTTTTTTGTATTGAATATGTACTACTGACCAATTTGTATAAAATGTATATACATGTATGTTATTAATGTACCTCTTGTACCAATATTTTGGTTTGGGTGAATAAATTGAAATTGAAATCGGAAAAAAATGACTATACCCTAACAATAAAATACTATACTTAAATATAGTTTACTATAGTTAAATTTAGTAAATCAAAGTTTCAAAGTGATCACTATAGTAAATCAAAGTTTTCACCATAGTAAATCAAAGTTTTCATAGTGATCACTATAGTAAATCAAAGTGTCAAAGTTATCATTTTAGTTAACTATAGTTTTCATAGTGTCAAAGTTATCACTATAGTGATATTTTGGTCTATTGAAATTGAAAATAAATATATAAAGTGTTTTGATAAAGCATAATCAAAATATTTCTAGCGTCTTTTTTTTAGTCCTTTGTATAGATGAATAGAGCTCACCAGAAAGTTTTATTTAAAAAGTTTATTTTGATACAATTAATCGGTTAATCGTTAGGAACGTCTTTCGGTTAACCGATTGGCAATTCGGAATTTGATTGCCATCATTTATACACAAACACAATGATCCGTATCCGTGGGCTCTAACCACAGGCCGACTCCCGCTGCTATCAGACATTTTTCGCTCTCTCTCTCTCTGGCATCCATATACATGTAGGAGAAGTCCATGCGACTTTTCCGCCATACGACTTAATATCGTCGGCAAGTCATACCATGGGACAGTCACACAGATACTACAGAAAGATCCACCCTTCATATCGAGTCTAGAGTGTGACGTCACAGAAGTTCGTGATACCCGAGTTTGTTTATTCTCCGAAACATAGAATGGTTTTAATTTAAGGAATGAATTTAATAGCTACCCAAATTATACTGGTATAACCTGGGTTGGGACAGTTAACGCTTTATAAACCGTTAAGTGTAAAAAGAAGACAATTTCTCCTTCAGAAATGCCTTCAAATTGTACGTATTTAAATGTAACGTCAAGCGGATTGATAAGTTTTTGACATAAGTCAGTGTGACGTAGGCAATCCAGGTTATACTACATATTCTTTTTATATATATTTTTTATCCAATCAAATGACGCGTTACAACCAAAATTAGATTATTAAAGGTTGAATAAAGCCGAATAATTCTGTTTTTAAAAAATGTGTATATCTGACAGGTCGTTAAAAGTCAACAGTTTCTGCCGATTCAGTCCGTGAATGACGCCACACGTCGGGACTATTATCAAATATGAATGAGTGCAAGTTGAGTTGTAGCTAGAAGTAGAAAACGAAAGTAAAAGGATTTGTACTGCAAGGATAGGATTTGAATTAAAGTAATGGTTCACAAACATGTTTTCCAAATGTATACACCTTAAATAAAGCCATTGTTGGAAGGCACACTTGCACAGAAAGCAATAAAGTGACAGGTACAGTCAACGATATCCTTTCATTGCAATTTTTGAGTTTTAAACACCTCTTAGACTACTAATGGTATATTGAAAAGTGCTGGGAGTTGGTTTTGGGCTGTAAACGTTGTTTTCCCATAATTTAACAATTTATTTCGAAGCGTATTACGTCAGTCTCGGAAGTTTATAGAAGATGGCTAAATTTTACATAATTCCCAAGCATGAGGAAATTGCTCCCAGCACTTTTCAGGTTAAGAAATTCGTCTAAAAGAAAAAACATTATCAATTTTATAGCGGAAAGATTATCCGTATATCTTTGAACTTAACGATCTTTCTTATTTTGTAATTTAAAACTGTCGCTTTAAACAGCTCATGTAAGTGACGTTGTTTTGCCTGTATCAGCAGAGACCCTATATATACTTATGTATTTACAAATTCCAATTTAACAAAATTCGCGCTGTTAATAAAAAAAATATGGACTGTATCCATTTACTTGATATATTATTTAATGCATATTTTCCATGGGCTTCTTTAACCTAGCTTCGATTAAGCAATGACTATCATATTAAAATATAGTGACTTTCACAAGAGAATGGCAAAATTGTTGTCTATGAGTTTGATATAAAGCACACGTTTTCTCTTTTTAAAAAGTAATTTCATAATGAATAAATGTTTAGATCTTTTCGTTGGTTTTCTTTTTTTAAAAAAATTTCACTGTTAACACTTAATTTCGACACACAAAGAAATGTATGACCATGGTCTTATACCTCTGTGTAAAAGAAAAATTCAAATGTCGTCCCTGTATTATTATTTTCCCTGGACTGTGATCTGTAAACGATATAAGCCAAAAACTGTACATTTTGAGGCTTATATCCTCCTTAAAACGTAAAAACCTTTGTGTTAAGAATGGACAGTATCAGGTAAATTTGTTTACTGTGATGACATGTTTCCTATTACCAATTGTCTTCGTAATGTACTCTCCCAGGTAAAGCAGGTTAAACAATGGAAACTGGTATCGTATTAAGAATTGATTTTGTAAGGTAGCGCACATAATATGACAACTTCATTGTTTACAGAATGGACAGTCATAGGTAAGCTAGGGATGCACAGCAATTTGTTGAATAGCCATTGTGGTTCCAGATGCAAAATAACAAAAAGTCTTTGTCTAAAGAATGGACAGTTACAGGTAGATTTTGGGGAATAGCAGTATTTATACAAGTATCTGATGCTTCAAAATCAATTAATAGTTTGCGTTGTAAATGCATTCCTCCGATGGAGAGAGTATGACAATCCAATTCTAATAAGCGACAAAGATCAACAAAAATCAGTGACATTTGGGCCTGGAAACAAAGAAAAATGAGAGTAAAAGACAATATTTGCCAGACTCCGACCTGAAAATGGATTTCTTTTCCAACAAAATACACTGATAATCAAATTTGAATCAAATCTTGAATTTTTTTTAAATTTAAATTCAATTTTTGAGGAGACATATTGACTACAGGGGGTGCAGACTGTGTTCATAGTGTTGGATTAACCATGAACCGAACCTCGACCTGAAAATGTTTATCCTTTCCAAAGAAATACTGGTATCCAAATTCAATTCTTTGGAAATGTTTGAATTCTAATCATTTTCTAAGGAAACATTAACTGCAACATGTCATGTTCATGGTGCAAACTTTGTTCTGCCTGTTCGATTTAATATTAGCCGTACGGAATGATGTTTCTGAAATTTTAATCTAATGTGGAAATGTGTCATTTTAATTCACGTTTTGACATAAAAAGTGAAAATTGAGTTTTAAGTACTGAAATAATGTGTATCATTCATGAATTTAAAAGTGCAGAATCAAGAGGATGCTGTGCAAATATTGTGTTCTGGATGAACTAAGATCTCCATGTTCTTCTTTGTTATTTACATGTAAATTCAATCGTATTTATTGTATTAATTTTGTTTTTGTTTCCCTCTTGGGTACATTCCAAATTTTACCTTAAACTCTCCATTCTGTTTGTTCTAACTGTCCATTCTTTTTTGAAAAAAACCTGTCCGTTCTTAAAAAAGAAAGGAAATTTTTCCAAAAAAGAACGGACACTTACAGGTAACTTAATGGATTGTTTGAGGAGTTAGCTCAACATTAAGCTACAGAATGGACAACACAAGCAAAAGGTTTACGTCACAATCATGTTTTAATTAGGAATTATAATACGTCCGCATATTTTCTTTACTTACATTGCACAGAGAATGTGGTTACTGGTAATAAATATTATTTTCCTCGTCATTTCACATGTAAAACTTTATTCAATTTTTTCAAATAAAAAACTATTTCAATTGATCAGAAATCCCGAGAAATGCGAGAGATGATTTCCTCCCGCAATGTAGGGAAACCCAGTTGCTGGGTCACTGAGGTTCACATATACTTTGTCCCCTTTTGAAAGCTCCAGTAATGTATTTTCTGATCTTTTGAGCCATAAACCTTCAGTTCCGATAAACAAGTATCCAGCAACTCTGCTGTTTTTTATGATATGTATCCTTAGGTAGTCCTTGTTATTAGCGGGGGTTGGGGCTTGAAGTCCAATAGTGACCATAAAGAAGTATGACCCAGATACGGGAGCGGTAAAGATACCAGTATTATTGTTGTAAGCTCCTCCCTTATTTGTTAGAACATTTCCAAAAATAAGAGTCCCTCTGATTATTTTCATATTGCTCGCAGCAGTCGCCATGAATGAGATATGATGAGCTGAAATAACAGAATCGTTATCTAATCATATGAAAATTATATGGGAAAAAATTCAACATATGGAGAACTAAGTCTGATATTCCAACTTCCATATATCCACTGTATTGAATTTGTATATATCCACCGTATTGAATTTGCATATGTAAACCGTATTGAATTTCCATGAACAAATTTTATACAATGAAGCGCATTGAGGTGGTAGATTTTTTCGTATAAATGGAACGTTTGGGTCTTTGTTATTAAACGTAAATTGTTACATAGTAACACACCCATTTCTTTATAAACGAGAAAGCAGTTTCAAGACACCCACTCTGTGACTAGCAACATGGGTTTTGCTGAAATGGAGATTTTATGAAGTTAAGAGAGAAAGAGTTAGAGACTCCCTGCTTCATTAAAACTCACGTATCGCAACGAATATGTACATAATTTAAAAATTAAACGAGACTTACCTTGGTTAAGGTGAAGTTTGATTGAGATTCTATGAGGAAAATAGAATCAATAAAGAGATCACGTAAGATTGCACTGCGCCTGTGCGGATTAAGGATTAAAGCGAAAACATTTTTTGTAACATCATTCACACAAATGTGTTCATCATACATCAGTGTATGATGAACAAATGAAGATTTCTTCTTCTGCATACAACTCAGTGTTAAGGTATGAGTAGTCTGTATTCTAGCAGCACAAGTTAAACATATGCACAGTTTACAAGTAAGATCTTTCAAACTTAAATGTTTCACAGGTGACAATTTCCTAAGGAAACCTAATACAATCGTAACATCCCACACATAATCAAGTTTAGGCGCAGGAGGTCTCAAATTAAAGACTCCTTTCATAAAGCGAATAATAACAGGGTGAGACCCAATAGCATGTTCATCAATAACAAAACCTAATGCAGACAAGGATGCTCTGGCTGTGTTTAAAGCACTATAACTTAAGTTATTATTGTATAACATAGTAAAAAATTCAATGAAATGATTTAAAGAAATTTGAAATTGATTAATATTCCTTTTTCTTAACAGAAAGAAACCCATCTCTTATGGAAAGTCATGTACTGTTTCTTTGTACTGCCTCTCCAAGACGCCATGAGGATATTGGTAGCGTCAGACGAAAAGCCCGAGTTTTTGAAATGTTTCACGACAATCGACATGCCATCATCAACAGCATTAACATATCCAGAACTTTGGTGTACCACACTTGAGTCGTCCAGACTGGCACCATCATGATGCATTCTGCTCTTTCTTCCATGATCTTCTGCAAACACTTCCCTATCAAGCTAAAAGGAGGAAAAATGAAACTATAATATTTGCTCAAATCAACAGTAAATGTATAAAAAAAACCTGCATCGGGGTCAGGCTTCCACGATTCTATTTGTAAACAAATCAATAGTTGGCATTCCAAATAAAGTAGTAATATCATAAGTATTTAGTTACCATTCAGTTTGATCCTCAAACTTTCTAGATTTTCTATCTGCAACAACATTATCTACTCCAGGTATGTGAGCGACCAATAGCCAGATGTTCCTATCAATGCACCAAGCCCAGATCTGACTTGCTATTTCATTGCATAAATGGGAGTGAATACCACCCATATTATTTATGTAACTAACAGCAGTTACATTAACATAACTTTGATTGAATCATGATTTTGGTCTTTGAAAAAAAGATTTCAGTGCATAAAAACATGCAAGAAGTTCTAAGGCATTGATGTGATAAGACTGTTCAGTGTCTGAACAGTGACCACCTATCTCTTGATTATTAAAGGTGGCACCCCAACCCAATAATGAAACATCGGAATAAACTTCAAAATTTATAGACCCATGACGTATATGTCTACAAGCTATTTGAACATTCTTTACCCACCATTACAAGTTGTCTTTCACTTCACGACTTATACACATTGTAGAACCAAAATTTCCTTAAGAGCATTTAAGGGTCTCAATTTTTCTCTTTATAACCTTCAGAGCACTTTACAATGTGTCCATCTTAAAATGATGGTACTTAATGAACGGATTTAAAACTTTCAAATTAAAAATCATTCTAAATTCTACATTTTGTAGTTTCTTGTCAACTGTACGAGTATTGGGTTGTAGGGATCCCCATACTAAGTAGTTTGTTTTTACTGTAACTAGACTTTCCCATTCATCTGGTCTAGCATTCACCGAGTCTTTCGTAAGTTTAGTGTATCTATCATCTTCTATCCCTTTTCTAAACCAGTCATAAACACACAAAGCTAACCCTTAGTTTACAGAAGTATTACATACCTCCTTGATTTTGAGTTTTTCTCCCGCAAATTTTAATTTTTTGTCAGTACCTGACGATGTCGCAGAGTTGTTATTAACAGTAGCAGTATGCCAGTTGACATGATCGGCGGCAATATCATCATTAACAGTGACCACGTCACTGTCCGGAATAAGGCCATAATCATCAAGCCGTCGTAATCTTTCGCCATTGCGAAAAGTTCATCCACACGATGACTTAAGTAATTAAAGTTCTGATCCGACTTACAATGTACATTGACTTTCCTGGATTGACTTCAGAACGTTAAGCACGTCCGTGATAGATGGGTCAGAGCCACTCAGGCCTGGCGATACATTAAATCTGCGAACATCTGAGCCTCTGTCCTTCACTGACAAAGCCACTGAATGCTGACTCGACACAGAGTCTGGTTTGGCGGATTTGCTAGGTTTCTTACTACCAATGGTTCCAACTTTTCTTTTTCTGTTGTAACCCGTTTTGTCCTCAGCTTTTTCTGCAGGAATAATTGCGTTTTTCTCTGGAGACAACATGGCATTCGCCATAGTCGAACCACGTGCGATCAACCACGTGCAACCAGTCATTTTAAGAATGTCAACGTTCAAAAGAAAGCCCAAAACGTTCGATTTAAACGGAAAATTTTACCACTTCAATGCGCTTCATTGTAAGTAAGAAGACATTTTTTAACTTACACCAAGTCTGAGTTGCAATGGTCGAATTTTCTCCTACTCGCCGTTACACAAAATAAAATATAAAAATGGTCTATATCGACGCTAATTTGCCCTGAATATTTTATTTAAAAATCTGAAGTGTACACAAAACCCAAATAATACATGTAACCTTCAGAACGTTTACTATGCATTTGCCGTTGAAGAGAAAATTCGATTTTTTTTTTCAAAAATGCCTGAATGTGACCTAAACTCTGAAGTGATGCTGGAATGACTGTAGAAGGATTTTTTTCAATGATTTAAGCAAACATAGAAACAGTAATGATTTCTTAATTACAAAGTTCCAAACAGAGTATTTATTTAATTATTACCATAAATCCAACGTTCAGTTTTAATGATATGGCGCGTACTACAACTTAATACTGTGACATCATTTATTTTATGATTAATTATGAGAATTTCTCCATATGGCAAACTTACTTGGACTGTTAAGTGAAGGTCCGACGGATTTGACTTTTGACTCCAAAAACGTCATTTTTTCCTTAATACACGTATTATATCCGGTCAGGTCAAGTTGACACGAGTCCATCTTGGTGCACCATACCGTCATTACCAAAGCAAGGTATGTGCAGAGAAGCAACATGATTTGAGACATTATTTGGGTGACACAAGGAGTTTCAGAGGTATATATACAGTATATCTCCATGTATGTCTGTCATTAGTTATACATCAAAATGATGAATTTAAAAATAAAAATATCGAAACGTGATATGCCAATGAAGTTGAAAAACTACATCACATGTTGGCTGAATTAACAATCAACCGCCAGCTATTTTTTTAACAAAACTGTACATGTACGAAATTATTATTTTCTTATGAATATTTGAATATTTGATTATATCGCTGTAGTAACCTATAGTAAAAACTTTGAAACTTTATGAAATTAAACTCGAAAACTTTTTTGAATTTGAAGGCCTTAATGCCTCTTTAATTACACATTACTGATGCAGTTATAATATGTTAATATACAAGAATCATTTCTTATTAATATCAAAGAAGTGCAAGTAAGACGCAGAGAAAATGAAACTTTGATTAACTCAAGGACAAACTTTGATATTCTAGTACCTACCTACCTAGTCCTTGTTATGCCCGTGGGCACAAATGGCAAGGACTAGCTTTTTCCACTTCTCTCTATCTTGAGCATTTTTTTCCAGTTCTCCCCAAGTTAGTTTGTGCTCTCTCATCTCCTTTTCCACTGTCCTTCCACAGGTGTTCTTTGGCCGACCAGGTTTCCTCTTCCCTTCTGGTGTCCATCTAAGGGCTACTTTGGTGATGTTGTTGACTGGTTTTCTTAACACATGTCCTATCCATCGCCATCTCCGTTTTGTCAATAAAGTTCTCATATCGTCTGTGTTTGCTTTCTCACGGAGTTCCACACTGGTAATTTTATTTGGCCAGAAAATCCCCATGATCTTTCTGAGGCATCCATTGTGGAAACTAGAAAGTCTGCATGTCTCCTTCTGTCATTCTCCAGCATTCTGCCCCATGGAGTAGGACAGACAGGACGCAGCTGTTATAGATTCTTATTTTTGTCCTTCTACTTATGTCATTTGTTTTCCAGATGTTCTTGGGGCTGATGAAGGCACCCCTAGCTTTACTTAGTCTGGCCTTTATATCTTTGTCCGTATCCCCATCTGATGTTACTATGCTGCCAAGATAGTTAAATGTTGTTGTGTTGCTCAGGTTATTTCCATCTACCTGTATTTTTGCTGGTTGTTTGGTGTTTAATGACATGACTTCAGTTTTCTTGGTATTGATCTTCAGTCCAATTTTTTCTGCATTACTCTTTGCATTAATTTTGATGTTTTACTTTGCATATGCTTTTCTAGTTGTGACAGTAGGGCCAAGTCATCTGCATAGTCTAGGTCTTCAAGACTGGTAAAAAGAGTCCATCTTATTCCTGTGTTATCTCCATTAAGGGTTGATTTCATTACCCAGTCTATTGCTAATATAAAAAGGAGAGCTGGCATCACACAACCCTGCCTCACGCCACATTTTACTATGAAGCATGCATCTGATGAGCTGCCAATAGAGCAATTAAACTCCAAGTAAAAAGCTTTAATCAGTTCTACTATCTTTGATGGTATTCCATAATGACTTAAGATCTTCCATAAGCTTTCTCTGTGTATACTGTCAAAGGCTTTTTAAAAATCTATAAAGTTTATTATTATAAGCTGCCTTTGGCACTCTGTACATTGCTCTATAATGTTTCTTAGGGTAAACACCTGGTCACAACAGCTTTTTCCTTTCCTAAAACCTGCTTGCTCTTGTCTTATTTTGGCATCGACTGCAGTCTTAATTCTATCGATTATTATTCTGCTAAAAATCTTACTAAGTATTGATAGTAAGGTGATGCCCCTCCAGTTATTACAGTTAGTTAGATCTCCTTTCTTTGGCAGTTTAATGATATTTCCTTTGGACCATGTCGTTTTTTTGTTTGTTTGTATGTTGTTTAACGTTCCTCTCGAGAATTTTTCACTCATATGGAGACGCCACCACTTGCCGGTGGAGAGCTGCAAATTTTGTCCTATACTCGGCACTTACGGCCATTGAGCAGTGAGGGATCTTTTTCGTGCCAGCACCTACTGCGACACGGGACCTCAGTTTATACGGTCTCATCCGAAGGACCGACCATGTCGTAGATATTGTGTTATTATTCCAGATCTTGGTGAATAATAGGTGTAAAATGTCAGCTGCTAGGTTTGGAACTGCTTTAAAAAACTCTGCTGGCAGTTGGTCATTTCCAGGTGCTTTGTTGTTCTTCAGGGTTGTTGTTATTGCTTTGTGTATTTCAGCTTTAGATGGTTCCTCAGTTTCAATTTCTAAATCAATGTCAGCTTCCTGTATGTGTGCCAGCTCGTTAGGCTCTGGGCATTTCAACACTTCTTCAAAATGTTTTCTCCATCTTTCATCTTGTTCTCTTTCAGATTTAATAAGGTTGCCTTGCTTGTCTTTCACAGGTATGTTTGTTTTTCTTTTCCTTCCACTTAACTTTTTTGTTATTTGATAGAGATCTCCCATTCTTTGTTCAGAAGCAGCTTTCTCAGCTTCTCTTGCCATACCTTCTATAAAGCTTTTACGATCTTTCTTTGTTGCTTTCTTTACACCTCTATTACAATTGGAATATTGTTCTCTTAGTCTCTCTTTTATTCCTTCCGAGTGGGTGTTACATAGCTTAGTTTTAAGGTCTTTCCTTTTATCAATTTTTTTCCAAGTATCTGGTGTAATCCATTCCTTATGCACCTGCCTCTTGAACCCTAGAGTCTTCTTGCTTGTTTCACTGAACAAGTTGCAGATTTTACCCCAGTGCTCGTCAACCACTTCCTCATTCTCAACATCACCACATTGCAAGACCTGAAATCTGTTCTTGAGCTCTAATCTAAAGTCTTGTCTCACTTTGTTTTCTCTCAGCTTTCCTGTATTTATTCGCCTGATGTTGCTTTTTGGCGCTACTTTTATCAGCTTGAGCTTTATATGGGCAGTAACAAGGTGGTGATCACTTCCAACATCAGCACCACGCTTCACTCTTACATCCTGTAAAGATCTTTTCCACTTTCCATTGATGGCAATGTGGTCAATTTGGTTTTCATCTCTCTCTCCCATGTGAGTTTGTGTATCTCCTTATGCTGGAACAGTGTACCACCAATGACCATGTTGTTGTTTCCACAGAATTCCGTGAATTTTTCGCCATTCTCATTCATACTTCCACAGCCATACCTCCCCATAACTTTTTCATAACAAACATTATCGCTTTCAACATTCGCATTTAGATCTCCCATGATGATCGTCAGATCTTGCTTTGGAACTTTTTGAAATTCTGCCTGTAGAGCCCCATAGAATTCCTCTTTAATCTCATTTTTTGCTTCATTTGTAGGGGCATAAACCTGTATTACAGATGTCTGTACAGGTTTTGTTTTCAGTCTTATTCTGATGATTCTTTCATTCACAGGATGGTATTCTAGTAATGCTTTTGCTGCTGTTTTACTTAGGATGATAGCTACTCCCTCATGATGTTGATTTCCCTTCTTCCAGAGTACACAATAACTTCACCTGCACTGGCAATATTCTTCCCACAATCTGTCCATCTACACTCACTTATGCCTAGTACATGTAACCTGTTTTCCTTCATCTCTTTCAGAACTTGAGCCTGTTTACCTGTTTCATACATTGTACGTACGTTCCAAAAACCGACTCTTATTTATTTCGTATGTTCAGTATACTTCTCGTGTGGACAGCTTCCTGTCGGGTTTCACTGTTCACAGTCAAACATGCAGTATTTATTCTGCTGGTACGCTGAAAACTCGACGTTAGTAGAAATATTTCTAGTCCTTGTATCCGTAATCGCTATGGTTTTAAAGGAAGGGGAGATTACCCCTTGCCCAACCCCCAACCTGGAGGACCAGGGTAATTTTTTATGGTTTCCTTCCACTAGATCTATGGCGTTCCATTGCTGACGAGTCTAGATCTGCCCGTAATTTTTAAATTAGAGTTTATCTTCTCCTAGGTAACTGCCTTACCTGGATAATACCCTTACCTGAGCGGATTTCTGTAGGGTTTACTCCTTAGCCTTTCCTTCTCCCAAAGGTAATCACAAGGCAGCAGTTTGTTGCTATTTACCCATAGCTGGGGACTAGGATTGCAGGCACCAGAGCATATCCACACACCGGTAGGCCATGCATGCCGTGCATTTAGGGGCATAGTCTCCTCCAAGACTTTGTGGATTCTGCTTGGGGCCGCAAGGTACCCAATATCCATCGGCTACCTCGAGGAGGATCCATTTCTGAGCCACATAGGTCTGACTGTGGAGAGGCTGTACCTGGCAGGGAAGTCTCTCCTATTTTGCTTCTTTTTCACAGCAAACTGCTAGCCAGGGGTGGTGCTGAAATCGCGAGTGACAAGCACAGACACAGACAACATACACACTGTGCGCATCACAAAGCCATTATAGCAGACTGATATTCTAGTAAGCTATAGTAAACTATAGCTAACTATATTCTTTTTTTTTCTTGGGGATGACACGCCATGAATTTACCTTTAAGGTCAAGATCTAGTAAATGAAAGGAGCCTACAGATTTCTCAAATTTGAGAAATAAGTTCCTTTAAAGATGCTTTTTAAGTATAGCTTGGTCAAATAAGGTGTATCGGGGCATATTTTGTAGGTAAACAGGACGAAAAATCATATTTTACACTGTGTTTTTTGATAAAAAAATTGATAAAATCAGTCATGAATATGGGAGTTTTTTCTTTATTGGAGAAAGGAAATGTATCCAGATTGCCTACAGTCTCTCAGAAAACGGTAATTTGTTTCTTCTTATCCTCTTCTTTATATTAATATCAAATTGAATATAGGTTTCCGGATTAATTTTCACATGATTTCAAATTGAATTCTATGAAAAAACTTTATTTTCTACATTATTCTATTAGAGCCGTAAAGTACGGGAAAAAGAAATTTTAAAACTGATTATGACGTCATAATGGATCTAGCACCAAAAAGACAGTCTAAAGTCATTTACTAGATCTTGACCTTAAGAAAATGGGTCATATATGTATTAATTTTGAGGTGTTCCATAAAATACAGAATTCCTTTCACCATAAGTGTTGGTCACATTATTTCTCATGTATAGAGTACCTAAAAACTACAAATAGAAAAGAAACAAAAAGAAAAAAATCAATAAGAAATGAAAAGAAAAGCAAAAGAAATAAAATATGTATTCAAATTATTAAAACTGAATGAAAAATATATCAATAATTGTCAGTCGTGGCAAGACCAAATCAGTATTGCACTATTACACCGATCACGAAGTTAGCCCCCCCCCCCCCCCCCCAGGTCGGGGAACACACACGACCTTCCAATGCATATTAAGTGCTCTCAAAGTGTTCTCAAATGATCCATTAAATCGATATTGTGATAGAATTAAGGACTACTCATCAGATAATTTGGATACATCTTTTCCCTTTTTGGGCTCACCAGAGCCGAAGGCTATAGTGTGCTTTTCTGATCAAAATTTGTTTGTCGATGTTGTTGTGGTAAACGTTTTGAATTTTCATCGCCTATTCTAGCACCACTGGACAAGTTTTATCCAAACTTGCCACAAAGCATCCCTGGGTGAAGGGAATTTAACTTTTCAAATGAAGACCCACGCCCTCTTTCAAGGGGAGATCATTTAGAAAATCTTAAAATTATTAAAAAAAAAACACGGGGCCAGAAAAATAAAAACTTATGTGAAAGGTTCATTACATGGTGTAGATTCAAGTTTATGTATGTAGGAAAAATCTTCTCAAGAACGACAAAGTCATGATTAGACGCATCCTCAGGTAGTGTAGATTCAAATTTCTTCAAATCATGACCCCCCGAGGGGTAGGATGGAGCCACAACATGGAATCAGAGTTATACACAGGGTGGTGTAGATTTAAGTTTGTTCAAAGTATAACCCCCGGGGGTAGGATCGGGTCACAACAGGGGATCAAAGTATTGCATAGGAATATAAAAGAAACGTCTCAAGAACAGCAAAGCCATAATTACTCATATAAATACTGAAGCATCCTCAGGTGGTAGTGTAGATTGATGTTTGTTCAACAGGGGATCAGTTATACATAGAATAGGTAAGAAAAAATCTTAAAATATCTTTTCATGAAGAACAGCAAAGCCATGATTAGTCATATTAATGTTGAAGCATCCTCTGGTAGTGTAGATTAAAATTTGTTCAAATCATGACCCTGTGGTTAGGGTGATACCAAAGAGGGTATCAAATTATAAATGGAAATATGTAGGAAAATCTTTAATAATCACCTTCTTAAGAACAGCAGAGTCACGATTAATCATAAAAATACAGAAGCATCCTCAGGTAATGTAAATTCAAATCAATTTAAGCACGACATCCAGGGGTATAGGGTGGGGCCACATTAGACAATCAAAGTTTTACATGAGAATTATATAGGAAACAAATCTTTAGAAATCTTCTAAACAACAGCAAGTGAAAAAAAGGTGAAGATAACGAACAGTGATCAATCTAAAAATATTCACAAACAGTACAAATTTATGAACAGGGCGTGCAACACGGACCCCCGGAAATTCTTAAGGTGGGGTCAGTTGACCTGTCACACCCGCCGTGAGCCCATATAAATTTATCAGGTAGACGGAACATTCCGTACTCAAGTTCAGCATTAAACAAATTTAAGGCCTAACAATTGTTATGAAAAACGTCATGCAACCAAATACTATTCTCTTTAGAGAAGTGGACAGGCTTTCACCTACATCCACTTCTCTTTGCAAGCCTTAATGTTTTGATTACGGAAAACGTATACATTTAAAACCAGTGACGGCCTGCACTTCTTCGGGATAAGAACTTGTTAAGAGAATCAATCAAGATTAACAACTCGTAAAGGTTGGTTTTCTTGTGATAATTGTTTATTTATGTTAAAATTGTTTATGTAACACGTCTATTACATAAATTCAGACATATATGAGTCGAAATGTCGGTTGAAGTGTATATAGGCCGTCAGCGGTTCTAAATGTATACGTTTTCCAGAATCAAAACATGAAAGAAGTGGATGTAGGCGAAAGCCTGTCCATTTCTTAAAAGAGAATACCAAAATACGACCCAAAGAAAGATTATGTTTGTTAACTAAGTCATAACGACCATATAATTTACGAAATATAAGGCCATGATAATAATTATTAATATCAATATAGAAGGATCCTCAGCTGCAGGTAATGTAAATTCAAATTTGTTCAAATCATGACCTCCCTAGGGAGGTTGGGCCACGTTATGCTATCAAGCTTTTACATGGGAATAATATTGAAAAAAATCTTAAAATCTTATTCCAAAGATCAGTAATTAAGCCACGATTAGTGATATCAATACAGAAGCATCCTCCATTAGTGTTAATTGAAATTTGTTCAACTCATGATCACGGAGGTAGGATGGGGTCACATTAGGCAAGTTTTACATGGGAATAACATAAGAAAAAAAATCTTAAAAATTCGTCTGTAGTACAGCAAAGCCACAATGTGTCATATTTTTTTTGGAAGGATTTAAACTTTTCAGTACTGAACTGAATTCCGCTTTTCTCGAACCAAAGTGTTCATGTGAGCTATGTGGTCTATGGGCCTCTTCTTTTTGTTTTCTTTCTCTTTCTTTCGTTCTTTTTGCTTTCCTTTCTTTTTCTTTTTGCATTTAATTTTGGATTTTATTTAACCCTTGCGACAGGATTTTTTGAATTCTATATCCAACTACAGAATATTGAATACCTTGTACATATTGGACTGTCAGAAAAGTTGATAATTTTATCTAATTCTATTTATAAATTCCACATTCATATATCTTTACATTTCGTATAAAACATTGTCTGGTAGATAAAATAAATTAAAAAGAAAACTCTGTTATCCATGCCACCGATTCTCGTATTAAAGTCTTATTTTATAAGCTATGAAATAATGTACGTCAGTGCTTTTTTTTTTATGGTTTCGAACACGTTTCAATGGATGAGCAATGTCAGTAACTTAATTCTAAAGCACTGGGCGCTTTCTGTTGTTGGTGCAACAAAATCATAAAATTTTCCGTTTGAAAATGAAACGTTTTGCGCTTTCTTTTGAATAATGG